TATGTAAAAATGTGGATGTGTAACCAATGTGATTCTGCAATCTGTATTTGGGGTAAAAATGGGAGTTCATAACCCACTTGAATCTAATGTATGAAAATATGATATGTCAAGAGCTTTGTAATGTTTTGAACAACCAATAAAAAAAATAGAATATTTATCCTATAATATTGGTTCAATATTTTGGCCTTCTTTAGGACTACCTTACTTCCAAGAACACTAGCTGATCTCCAAATGATTTTTCCTTAAAATAACCTGATGGAGGAAAAAGACAAAGAAGAAAGGAGATGAGAAACTTATAGAAGAATGCTTCAATGACATATGACAGCTGTTTTCAAACAGGGTTTAATGATTGGTCAGTGCTTCTTAAGAATCTTGCTAGTGCTCTGTATATAATAATCCATGCTACTCACCTCTCTTCTGAAAGAGCACAGTGCAATCCTTATCCTGCCCTGGGCTTTGTTTTTCAGAAGGAAGGGAATGGTGTGACACTCAGGGGAGACAGATCAGAACTTACTGGGCATTCAAGGAAGAAGAGTGAAGAGGATCAGAGAATTGCAGAATCTTTGCATTGGCAGGAACTCTGAATAATTGAGCTCAGCTCTCTTGTAGTACAGCATTCTCCTTCATAGCAATTCTGAGATAGCCCATCAGCCTCTGCCTGAATACCTTCAATGACAGGGATCTTACTTTCCTCCAGTCAGCTTGATTTAAGCCAGAAACCTTAGATACACCATACACCACTCTTCATATATTTCAATCTTTTATATATACATATGTACACACATATATATATATATATATATATATATATATATATATATAGTGTCTGTACACACATATATATGTGTATATATATACGTGTGTGTACGTGCATGTATGTATGTGTGTGTGTGTATGTATGTGTGTGTATGTGTGTGTGTGTATATATATATATATGAGAATGACTGCTTAAGTATCTCTCAGGTCTGTTCACCATTCCTTTTGCAACTATCTCAGTTGAGGCCTCCTTTTTTCATCTCTTTCTGTGGTTCTGCAATAGTATCTCACTACCAGCTTTCCTGCTATCACAGAATACATTCACATAGAGCAGATTTCAGAGAAGATGTTTTAAAACACAAATCTAGTCATATTAGACCTCTGTTTAAAACCCTTTGATGGTTCATTATCACAAACAGCAAAACATTAAAGGTTTTGGACAGGCATGATATTATCTAACTCTTCACCTCACATTTCAACAACACTAAATGGTTGTGGAACCCATAGGCACCCAACTATTTTGCATCTCTATGGTTTTGCTTATATAATTGCCTCTGGGTTGGAATATTTTGTTCCTTTAAATCAGTTAAATCAGTTCAAGAATTATCTCCAGGAAGGCATCTTTTGACATACTTCTCCATGTAATATAAAACATATCCTATATGTATCTCTGTAATTGTATTTACCACATTATACCAAATTCATTAATAAGTTCACTTCTTTGTCCCATGTGAATGCCTCAAGGCAAGGACCATGTTAGTATCTTTAGCTTATGGCACAGGATTCATGTTAGTGGGTGTATAAGACAAGCCTGGTAAATCCTAGAAGTTTTTTTTTTTTTTTTTTTTTTTTAATCAGATGTTAGTTAAAATTTATAACTCCAATGGTCCAATTTTTGCTTCATGGAGCAATAAAAATAATCTCTCCATGAAAATAGAACATTTGTCTAGTACATAAAAAGGCAAAGTTTAAATTATGTGATTTGTACTTACCTAAGTTGCTGTATGTTGCACTACAGGGGTTCAGGTCCACAGGATCTGAAGTATCTTCTTTTTCTTCTTCCCTTTCCAGGTCAGGGGTGGGCGGTGCTGGTGTGACTGAGATCCCGCCCCCGACATCTTGTTTGACAACAACAGTTCTTGGATCCCGTGGAGAAAATTCTTCTGTCACTTCATGGGTCACGTGACTGAAACAAATCAGAGTACCTGTCACACTGGTACTCAAAAGTTCTGTTAAGAGCTGGGGTGGGCTGGGGACACAGTTGGTAGAGTGCTTGCCCTGAATGCGCAAGGCCCTCAGTTCAATCCCCAGCACCACACACACACACACACACACAAAAAAAAAAGAGTTGGGGTTGTGACTCAGTGGTAGAGCACTTGCCTCGCATGTGTGAGGTACCAGATTTGATCTTCAGCACCACATAAAAATTTTAAAAAGAATTGTACTGCTTCTAAAAAAAAGTTCTGTTAAAATTTACATATACTTCCCATAAATGTAAATAACTAGTCCTACAGTCACAACAATGGGTCATAAGCTCCAATATACTTGTTTGAATACACAGAAAAGTGCTACATCCTGTCTATTACTTTATTTATCATGATTCATACATATTGAGAATCCATTTTGGTAGAGAAGATATGGTAAACTCAGAGAAACTCCATAATAACAGTCAAGGAATAGAATAACTTTAAAAAAATGTCTATTTTTTTTAGTTGTAGTTGAACACAATACCTTTATTTTTATTTTATTCATTTATTTTTATGTGGTACTGAGGATCAAACCCAGGATCTTGCATGTGCGACTTGAGCGCTTTACCACTGAGCCAAAATCCCAGCCCCAAGGAGTAGAATAATTCTTAAAGGCAGGAGGTAGCAATGATGAGGCAGAACTTATTTGGTTAAAGAAAATTATACTGACATATGTAGTAAAACACTTAGCCTATTTACTATACTATATTTATTATCTATATGATAGTATGCTAATACTATGGTAAATAACAAATACTTCATAATATTTTCTTTACTTAGGATATGGTATACACTAAAGTATTTACTCAAGTACTTAATAAAGCACCAGGGATAAAGTTGAAATTAGACTATGCAAATAAGGAGTTGAAGCAACTGTTTTGGTAGGTAAACTGAAGCCAGGAAGGTCTTTTTGTTAGGAGGATAGAAGCATTACCTTTTGCTTATATGCATGCAGCAGGAAAGGCAGACAGAGAAGAAAGTTCTGCATTCTAGATAAGCTCATTTATTAAAATGAATCTGAAGCATCTTCTGGCCACAAATCAGTATGACCACTCTTGTCTTATCATTGCTTGCTCATTTACTTATATAGCTACCTCTTCCCATTCTTCCCACTCTCCAAATGCCAGAACTGTGCCAGTTCCATTGCTATGAATACAAGAGGATCAAGCTGGCATGAAAAGCTGGTGCAGAAAACTGGTCCAGTTAAAATAGTCTCAATGGGCTGGTCAATAAAAATCAGGCATCTTCAAAGGTTTCTGGGTTTCTGAAAATATATTCCTAGACTATCACACTCATTAGCTCTTATTCTTGTTTCTTTGTGAGCAAAGAGAAAGAAGGAAAAGAAACATCTTGTGTATTAGTAAATGTTACTTCTGGATTTTCCATTGGCAAGAGTGATGTTGACATTTATAAGTTTCTTTAAAAGAGGTACTTTGTTGACCATGTATCATCAGAACATAAATTACCTACAGATTTAAGGGAGCAGATCTGAAGGACAAGGAGTACCTTCTTATCAATATATTTCATTATGAAAATTATAATTATGCCTGAACAGAAAAATAAGCCTTGAAGTCTGCTGGATATATAACTTCAAAAGTCTTCTTTCAAAGCTGGCAGAACCAGAGGTCTCTCTACATCAGCAGCAGGCAATGAACTGGAAGTTCCATAATGGAATCCAGCTCATAGGAGAGTGGTGAGGTAGAAGYAATCACTCCACCATAGTCAAGGGTAGTCTGTAAAGGAGGCCTTACATGGGAAAGCATGCTGCCTCTTCTCAATGGGCTGCCTTAGGTCATGAACACAAAAAAAGGTTGGGATTGTGGCTCAGTGGTAGAGCGCTTGCCTAGCACGTGCGAGGCACTGGGTTCAATCCTCAGCACCACATAAAAGTAAATAAATAAAATAATAGTATTGTGTCCAACTACAATATATATATATATATATATATATATTTTTTTTTAAAAGGACTCCACACAAAGCAGGTATCTCATGATATGGAACACCATAAAATCAAGGTTAACAAGGGGCTCTACTGTCCATGCATTAGCAAAGACAAAGCAAAGCGACACTTCAAGACATTCTCAGAGGGGGCTGGGGTTGTGGCTCAGTGGTAGAGCTCTTGCCTAGCATGTGTGAGGCGCTGGGTTCCATCCTCAGCASGACATAAAAAAATAAATAAATAAAATAAAAGTATTAAGAAAAAGACATTCTCAGGCATCACTTAGCATCAAGACTGTATATCATGAGTAGTTATCAGGATCTTCAGGAGAGAGTAAATGTTCTTTGCTGGGCAAGTCAATATTAAACCCATTCTAATTTCAAAGCAATAAATGTAAGTGAYTTAAAAATACCAGCTCTCCTTTGAGAGGAAATGTTAAAGCTCCAGTGATTCTCTTCTAGTTTTAGTGTCAGCTTTAGAGATTTCCTAAAAAGCTGTTTTGGGGTTCCTAATTTTTGCAATCTTGCTCTTACCATTTTTATTCTTTCCCCAACCTCCTGATTATTACTAAAAGAAAGCTCTCCTTTGGATTTGTCAAAAAGGTTGGTGAAATCTTCAGATGTCATGACTCCTTTCTCACATGTCTGTTTTCTTCCCAAGCAATAGGCTATTTGCAAGGAAGTTCAGTTATTGTGAAACTCCTGAAAGAGCAGCTGCTGTTAGCCTATGAGGAATTCCCTGGGCCTGCTCCACCCACATGTATGTAACACAGCTCTGTGCTCTGAAGGCCTTGGCAAAATACAAATGCTAAAAAGCATGAAATATAAAAGACTCACCCACTGTACTCACTCACACAATTCCCCATTAAAGAAAAATTTCACAGGGTCTTCTTGAATCTGTTAATCATGTTCCGAAACTTTGATGAACCAAAGAGTCCCCGGTGTTCTGCAGAGCTACAAGTTGGGCAGGCTATAGGAAGAGTTTGAATTCTGCACCTTAACATCCACTGCACCTTGACCTTTACATTAGGGGTTTGGTCTGGGAAACGTGCCAAATTACTCTAGGGAGCTAAGCAAAGTGAAAGCTAGTTTTATTAACTCTTTGAGGATCAGGGTAACAGAGCCTACATTCTAGATGAAGATCAGTGTTTACACAAATATTTTAAATAAATGTACTGGGATATTAAGTCACCAATTAAAGTAATTGTCAACTACAAAGAACTATGCAAAAAGTTGATAAAAATAAAATCATGTGATTTGCAAATGGATGGTAAAATGTTTAATCTGCATTTACAGTTATAGCAATGTCCAACAGGAGTACAAATTTTTTTAAAATGCATCATAATGATATGTCATGTCCTAATGCTTGAAGGAAGAACAGCTCTATGTACAATTAGAATAATAACAGGAAAAGGGAGAGAGAGGTTCTGAGAATTCATACTTAGGTATGGTAACATGTTAAGACTATGAAATGAAAAAGCACTGAGAATAGCATCACAGAAGGTTGACTTAGTTCCCATGTATAAACACTGTAGATAGAGAAAAGAAAGTAAAGTCTTACTATTAAGTTATCATTAGGGATATTAATTTTATAAAGGAATTTAATTTTTGACCAATGACTTTGTTTTCTCTTCAGACATAAACCCAAAAAACCTAAATACTAAAATGATACTTAGCAGACACAGGCTTTATCTCTAAAAAAGTGTTACACCACCATTTCACTGGGAAATGTTTAATATACTGGAGAAAATACCAAAATGGGAATCAGAATTGGGTTTTGTTTCCCTATTACTTTGATCTTCTAAACAAACTTGACACCACCAGTAAGCAGAAATGGAGAACACATTTCATCCATGGGTCAGATTGTAAAAAATTCTTTAAATGAAAATTATAAGAATTTCTTATAGACTATATTTTAGCACATGTCTTAAAATAATGACCAAAAGAACCATATTTATCTTCCAGAGTAAGTACAATTTGATCCTCATTACTATAAAACAGATCTATTAAGTGATAAGTGGCCCACGAAGAGGAAGTTAAAGCTTTTATAGCTCTGCTATTTAAATTCAAGTTGAAGTCCTATAATGCAAGGTGCAATCACTACAGTGTGTTGATATCTAGGTCCTTAATTTTCAGGTTGACTTAAACCCTAAATCCTAACTTAGCCTCCTCTTTGCCTGGCTTCAGCAATCATTTTGCTTTCATAATAAAAAACAAAATACATTTGACTGACTGTACAGGAAGCCCTCTAAATCCCTGTGTTCCACATCTTCGAATTCAGCCAACCTCAGATTGAAAACATTAACAAAACAACATAATTTTATTTATACAGCATTTACATTGTATTAGATTATTATAAGTAATCTAGAGATGATTTAAAGTCTACAAGAGGGTAAGGGGTAGGGTATATGTAAAATGCCACACTATTTTACATAAGGGACTCAAGAATCCAAGAATTTTGATATCCATGGGGGATTCTGGAACTGATTCCCAGCAGATACTGAGGGATGACTGTACTTTAAACTCTTCAACCAATTTTAATGACTAGTTTTTAATTGCAATTTGGTATGTCTGACCTGACACTTAAAAACCATGTAATAATCTCCACAAAGACAACACCTTTATGAACATGTGGAAAGAATGTAAGGTGTTCAAAGAAAATAGTAACATTCTTACAGATTTGTCTGTTATGTAAATGAATCCCTTGGAAGGTTATATCTCATCAGCCTGCAATATTCATACATAATTCAAAGCTACAGAAGCAATCTCCTGTGGGAAGCTCACTTGGCTTACCCAGGTGGTAGGATTAATCATTGCACCATCAAATGAAATAATCCTTTTTTTTTTCCTGGTAAATTTGTTTAAGACAGATTTTTATAAAAATTCTGTTAAATGTCTGCATGTACTTTTTAAAAAGGCAAGTAAAATTCCACGTTAGAACAGATTAAAAAGACTTTTATGCATCCAAATATTTCCACAATTTCAGTTCAACTTTATCTTC